CATGGGCCCAACCTCAGTCAGTCTTTGTGGATTGAATCGTACTCCTCAAATTCCCGCCGTAATCCTATGAGAAGGCATTTGGAGACCTCTAAGGGGGAAATACAAGTTAGGGAAGTCATTGGGGGTGTGATTCTAATCCAGACGCACTGGAGAAAGGGTAGAGGAAAAGGGAAGAGGTCAGACTCTGCGAGCAAGTGGCAAGAAAAGGCCATGTGTGGATTCAAGGAGGTGGCAGCTTGCAAGCCTTAGAGACAAGTGTCATCAAAACCGGCATCAGGCAGCACTTTGATCTTGGTCTTCTGGACACCAGAACAGTGAAATCCTAATTTCTGTCGCTTCAGTTGAGTATGACATCTCAAACAGTCTAACACACTGGCCCTGGGAAGAACAACATGCTGGCAAGAGGGATTTAAGCAGAATTACTTTCAAAGGGATCGTGAATGGTCGAGTAGGGGTGTGTGTGTGTGTGTGTGTGTGTGTGCGCGCGCGCGCGTGCGCGCGCACTCGCGAGCAAACATATGTATGCCTGACACACATGTCTGTGAAGCACACATGGAAGAAAAAGCTTGTAATTTACTCTGAAGTACACGCCTAGGTTTGTAGAATATTCATGGAAAGTAGGTTTTCAGTAGCTCACAGGCTTTGTTTTGGTCAGTTGACAAATGACCAGAGCAGTTTTCTTGAATAGAATGTGTGCTAGCCTAGCATCAGGTGATGCCCACAGCTTTTTCACGAAGAAGCTCCTTAGCTTTGGGTAGCTTGAACTAAAACGTAGGGCGTACTCTAATTTACTCTCGCACCGTGGGTTGATGACAGACTTGTTCACTTGTCTGAAAGAGAAGGAATTAGTGATTGGGCAGTTTGAAAGGGATTCTTTCCCTTTTTCTCTTTTACTTTAAAATACATTATATATTGTGAACCTACAGGAAACCAATTCCTTAGCTTATTTACAGGGTTCTAAAACACTGGGGGTGGATTCTATGCTGTTTCCGAGGCTTTCTAATCTCAGACCCTGGACACATTCTCCTAACTCCGTGTATCAGGTTCCACATCTGTAAAGTGAGCCCACTCATGGTACTCATGTCTGAGATTGTGGTGGAAGTCAAATGAGACATTGCACTTAATAAATCAGTATCTGGCACAGACTAGAAGCTTAATCAGTGCCAGGTGTGTGAGCACTATAGCGACACTATTTTTTTTACAGTTGTTTTATGGATGTCAGTGCTAACTTTAAGCCCACTCAAGGATCGTGCCTGAAGTTACACAGCTAAATAGTGGTAAGTCCAGGATTCAATCACAGATCCATTCACCTGACTCCAAGATCTAAGTGATTTGAGTTGCCCTCCAGTTCCTCTGCTTTTCCAGTCAAGGAGAGCTGAACAGCACAGTCTCACACGGAGCAGAGGAGCGCTTGGTGAGAACCCTTGATTACTCCAGGGGGAGTTGTTGCTTCCAGGCTGAGATCACTGCCTCAGGCTGAGCCATCTTAACCTTCCTCTGCGTCTCTCAGAGCCTCCTTTTCCTTCCTCCATTCAGACACTGGGGAAGAAATGGCAACAAAATGAAAAGGCCGGATAGATAAACACGTTCTAGGAAGATCCTGTGAAAGGGGATTTCTGTTTCTCATCAAATACTGACTGAACAGATCACAGACAGTCTTTTTGATGTTTCTCCCCACAGTTAGGACTAGATTCAAGTGTATGACTCATGGAAATGACCCAGGCAGGAAGAATGAGTCACTCACCTTGCCTTTTCGGATCTTCTGGCTGCAGCTTTTCCTGGGATCAGCATCACCAAGGGTGGCGAGTCCTGTGCTGCCTGCTGTGGCTGTTGGAGGCTGGGAAACTCTCAGAACATGGGGGAGTCTGGGAGAGTGAGAATCATTGAACCTTCAAAGGGCTGCCCCATAACACTCCCACAAGCATTTTCTGCCATTGGTTTGGAAGCTTCTTATCCATGTTTCATCACTTTCAACCCCCAAGTCTACCCTCACTGGGCTAATCAATCCTGAAGGGTGGGTACACACTTCCAAGATGCCTGCTATGATTCTTATCTCCTGGTTCAAGCAGGCTTGGGTTTGTACATCCTTCCAAAAGCCCCATCTCTGCTCCATTATTGTTGCTATTGCTTTGTTGGAATCTGTCCACTGTTTTTCTCCCTAGGACTGACAGCCCCCAGTTAAAACCATACTCTAGGACTCAATCTCTGGGAAGCAGAGAGGGAAAGAATTGTCACATCTCTCAATCCACTTTGTCCTGAGCCTACAGAGACTTCCCCTCATTGGATGACCTGAAAAGCCCAGGCTTGACCTCTGCTTACTCCTGATGGCTATTTCTATATGTCCTCTCATTGTTCACCCTTCGTTTTTTCCCCACTGTCGATTTGGCATCTTTGAGAGTCTGGCCAATCAGGAGTGCAATCGGCTGCAAGACAAACTGGAGACTCAGGTCTAAGCTCTGGGGCAGCCACTATTCAGTTTGGACTATTTGAAATCAAAAGAAAACACAGAAACAGAAAATATCTTAGACTTCTGAGCTTTGGAGAGAAACCAAAAATAGTAGATCTCCTTCTTTGGTAGTGAAATGATTCAATATTCAAAACTTTAAACTAATAAGAATTTTCAAAGCAGTGAGTGTAGACCAAAAGGAAACCCATGTGGGGTAGCATGCAGTTTGCCCGCCACTAACATGACTTTCTGTGTAAATCATATGGCAGAGTCTGGCTCATCCAACCTGTGTCCTCTTCTCTTTGAGCAGGCAGCTGGATTCTATTTCTCTTGCTGGCTTACAGTTAGACCAAGAGATTATTGACAGAAGCCAGAGACCCATAGCTCTGCCAGTCACACAGACCCCATAGCCAGGCTTCTCTTCCATTTACCCTCTGTTCCTCCACTCTGCCAGCCCAGGAATTCTAAAGTTGGAAGGATTTGGAGGAGAATTCCCAACACATACCACACAGAGCCTCGAGATGCACTCTGATGAGAGACAAAAATCCTCTGAGATTTGGGGAACATTTGTTTACAACATTAGCGGCAGTTGGTTCCTGTAGTGTTGGGACTTTCTCCTCCTTGTCTGCGAATAGTGTTTTGTGAGTCCATTTGATCTTTTAGTACTGAAACGTCACAAATTAGGGAAAGTGATGTTTTTTCCTCAGGCTGATGTGATTAAAAAAGAAATAATACTGATATCTTCATGTCCAAACTGTTTTCAATAAGCAATTCTACTGCTAGAGAAAGGAAGTATTGCCGGGTATAAAGCACTCTTACTGCTCTATGCAGGGTAAATTAAGGATGTCTGGGCATCAGTTGCACACTCGTCTCCATCAACAGTCTTTTCTATTGGTGGTTGACCTAAAATCCTGTCACATCTCGGTAGCCTAAATGCCTGGATGCTGAGTAGAAATCACAGTGTTTCCTCACTCTCCCTCCCACACTTCAATTCCTTTTGTAATCCGCCATCTATAACTCTTAGAATCTTTAGACTCCTATTTGTAACATTCATTCCCCCAATGGAAAGACACTGCATTAAAAGATGTAAAACATCCCATTAAAATAATTTCCTCTATTGGACACTTACTGATTTCTAAATCAGTAAGACATGCATGAACAGTAAACCAGGAGACTCATGCAAAATGCAGTTTTGAGCCCTTTGGTTTATACTCAGAGGACAGACTCCTGTTCTGGAGGGTCAACAAATCTCTGGAACACGGGGGAATGATTAAAATCAGTTAAGTGTCTTTTATAGGAACGTCATTCTTCAAATGAATTAATATGCTAGCCATGACATGCATACCTAAGATGTACTTGTAGAATCAGACAATAAAGTGAAACTCAGCAGTGATAAACTTGTAATCAGACAGGGCACCAGCTAAATTGCAAAAAGAGTAGTGTGGATTACCCTATTAATCATTTGCCCGGGTTAAAACTCTAAGACAGAAGCAACCTGAGGATGGGTTTCTTTTTTTTTCCTAAAAATGTATTTTTCATTTTACATGCCAACCCCAGTTCTCCCTTCTTTCCCTTCCCCTACACCACCCTTTCCACCCCCATCCACTCCTGAAAGGGGGTAAAACCTTCCTTGGGGAGTCAGCAAAGCCTAGAATACCAAGTTGCGGCAGGACCAACCCCCCCCCCCCATCAAGGCCGAGCAAGGCATCCCACCATAGGAACTGGGATCCAAAAAGTCAGTTCATGCACCCTGGATAGGTCCTGGTGCCACTGCCAGAGCCTGCCACCCCAACATATCAAGGACAGGTTTCTTCTGACTTGCAGTTCAAAGTTACAGCCCATCATGATCAGGAAGACATAGTGGCAGGAATCGGACAGCTGGTTATATGATACCCACACTCAGGAGACAGAACAATGAACATTGGTGTTCAGCTGGCTTTATTCTCATCATACAACACAGGTGTGATGGTTTGAAAATGCCTCCCACAATCTCTAACATTTGAATATTTGGTTCCCAGTTGATGGTGCTGTGTGGGGAGGCTTATGAGGTATGCCCTTACTGGAGGAATGTGTCTCTGGGGTGGGATTGGAGTTACAAAGCCCCCTCCCTGTTTTCTCTAGATCCCATTTGTGGTTTAAGATGTGAACTCTCAGCTTGCTGCTTCAGCCATCATGGCTGCCTGCTGCTACATTTCTCAGCCATGATGGCAATGGACTCTTATCTCTCTGGAACTCTAGGGCCACATATAAACCTTGATTCTCTAGGTTGATGCAACAGAAAAGTAACTAACACACCAGGACTCTCTCAGGTCTAGGGAATCATGCCACCCACTTTTACAGAAAGTCCTCTGGTATCAGTCCATCTATAACCACTCACAGCATGGCCAGAAGCGCCTTTCCTAGGCAATTCTAGTTCCTGTCACATTGAGAATCAGTGATATAAACCACTGAAAGCAATAAATGCTTCTTATCTCTGTCTCCGTAAACCCACTGGTTGCTGTGGTATCGAGTCTACTATGGCCATAGAATAAACAAAAATGCAGTATCCACAGAGTATGGAAGCACGTATTTTATTAAAGGGAATGACAACAAGATCCCATTGGGAATATATTAAAGGGGTTGGGGGAACAATAAGGGGTCAAGGAAAAAGGACACAATTTGTACTCTTTTTTTCCCAAGGGTTTCTTTGTGTAGCGCTGGCTGTCCTGGAACTCACTCGGCAGACAAGGCTGGTCTCGAACTCACAGATATCCACCTGCCTCTGCCTCCCGAGTGCTGGGATTAAAGGCGTGAGCCATCACCACCCAGCAAAAATGTGTACTCTTTGGAGACTTGAGTTGCACAACTGTATTAAAGAGTGCCAGGGTGCATGCTAAAGTATTCCTTCCTGTCTCCAAAGAAGATGTGTTTAGTTTTGTGATCACACTGCTCTCTGCTTGTCAAGATGTCCACCTGCTGATTGTGGTGACTCTGTGCTTCTAGAAAAACTCCTCTCCATGGATAGTTGAATGTCCTTGGAAGGGATCATCCTTCTCATCTATCCGGTGTTAACTCAGAAGCAGGCAGGAAGTCCTCATACTGGGAAGAATGTCTGACAACTAGAAGAACAGTGGACATTTCTTAGTTGTTACCTTCATTTTCTTTCTCTTCCCAGTAGATCCTTAGCATGACCCTATAAGGAAGAACAAGGTGAGTGTGGCTTTTGCTACCATCACTTTATTGCTGAGACAGTTAAGGTCACGGAAAAGTTAAACACTATGCATAAGACTATAGAGCTGGCAAAGGTGAATGTGAGCCAGAACGGACTGACCGCAGAGTCGTTTCATCTTAACGGCTGCACCGTACTGACAAGGCCAGGTGGTGGGACGTGGCAGTTACCACTAGGCTTTACAGTACACACAACCAGGCTAGTCTCTTCAAACAGTTCCTGAGAGAAGTCCTTAGGATGTCTGGAAACTGAATTATGATGAAAAGGTTTGTTTTTAAGGCACTGGGTGACAATCCTTAGCATTGTAGAGGAGGCCATTTACGTGGGGGGGGGCATCCTTGGATGGAGCTAGATGTGAAAGGAACAAGAAGAGGAAGGGGTTTGGAATTTGCACACCCGACCCCTAACAGGGAAGGAAAAGCAGTGGAATTGGCGTGGTTACAGCAGAGGAGGTGGAAGATGAGGAATCCCAATGGGAGAGAGGTGTTCAATCCAGGGGCAGCATGACCCACATCCCACTGGAATCTTTCCCTTCTGGAGAGCTAATCTGGAGGCCTCAGGGAACTGAGCAAGGAAACGTGTTCCCCTTTTCACCCATGTTCAGCCCTTTGTCGGAACTGAACTGCATCATGGGAGCTAAGGAATAGAAACACCCACGGCTCTCCCTGTGTACATTCATCAAAGAGTGGCATCATCCAGGCAGGTTCTTCTGCAGAGAATAGAAACAATAGAAGAAGACTCAAAATTTAGAAGAGATACCAACTGGGTGGCAGGACCAAGTGGTCCAGGTTAACTCCAAAAACCACATGGAGTTGCTTTGGAGGTATTCTTTTTTCAGCATTATAAACTATTTCAGGTCTTCAGCCTTTCCATACAAATTTACTCAGTTTCTACACACACACACACACACACACACACACACACACACACACACACACATTCACAACCAACTGGATTTTGACTGAGAATGTGTTAACAGGTAAGTCTGAAGTTGAGAAAAAATTTCTGAACTGTTAGAAGTTTTAAGGGCCGATAACCAAAAAGCAATAGGCAAATGAATGGTGTGGGTGTGTTTGATAGACATTTATTCACAAAAGCAGGCAATAGGCTGGATTTGTCTCAGGCCATAGTTTGACTTCTGTTACAGATCATCTTGCACCTATATCCTCCACATGTTGACCCTCCCAATACACAAACTCTTCCTCTTTTTTTGACTCAGCAATGGTTTGATATTTTTAGCGTGCAAGCATTGTACTTGTCATTAAGTTTGAATAGCTTTTATGTTATTATAAATGGACTCAAAGAGATTAGTGAAGTTTCCATGAAATCTATTTTAAGAGATATGGAAATTTATAATTTATTCCTTATTATCAAGAATACAACATTCTAAGTACTAAGTAAGGCTAAAAATAGAGCTAGAATTGCATTTTAAAAATCAATCTGGGTCATTTGGGATTACAATTAATTTGATTTTTACCTCTTCAGCTTAGTGCTTCCATATGAGACTTGAGAAAGAGCAAGTTCAAGGACAGAAACCACAGAATTAAAATCATGCTTACTCAGTCTATGCACTCCACATGGAGGGTAAAAATGACTATATAATTTGTCTTGGATGGTTTACTTGAAGTAATCAAGAAAATTGGCTTAAGAGTGGCTTGTAGGATATGTATACGATTCTAGGTGGTTATCAAATTAGTTCAGGGATTAAAATGTTGCCACCAAATTTTACCAGGTAAAAAGTAATAAATAGTAGTATGTGCCTGTAATCTCAGCACTCAAGGGGCAGAGGATTATAATTTCCAAGATAGCTTGAGCTTCATAGCATGAAGAAACAAAACACCATAAACGGTTAAGACCCCTTGGTCTTGATTCTGGCTGATGAGACAGTGGTGAAGAACTTGGAGTCACTCTGTCACTTGTATCTTGTGAGAGCCTGGGCATGCCATTTTAGCTTCTTAAGGTCCAGCCTTCTTGTGTGCAAGATGAAAACGGTGGTGTATGTTGAATGAAACATCAGTAAAATTCCTTAGAAACTATCAGGAACTCCATAGATAGTCAATAAAAGATGTTAAAAACCTGTTCCCCATTATAATTGGGTCAGGATGGCTAAGATGTTTGCTGTAAAGCTTACTACCCTGTATCATCTGACATCTACCAAAGACGTTAACACAAGAGTAAGAAAGAAAATACCAAATATGAGAAATGTCTTCACTTGGCTACTAAGTGAAGAATGGGGTGGTTAGAGAAGGGGGTGTTATCAGGGTGGAAGCAAGCAAAGCCTCCTCGCTGGGCCTCAACCTGAGGAAGAAAAGCCCAGAAGAGAGCAGAAAGCCAGTCTCAGAGGTAGTTCTATTCCATAACTATAGGGAGGGCCAGAAGTCGACAAAGCTCTTATTTTGATCTTCAGACCCCAAACACACTATTCTCTGCTTCATGTCAAGGTCTCAAATGAAGACTCCAAGAGTTTTCCTAAAATGTGTTGCACAGTGGGTCTTCCATGAGCCATGATCATCCTGGCTGGAAGTAGTTCACCTTTATGTGGGGCTAACAATAGGCTGACTAGGAATACCCAGCATCCAACACACAGAGGCTAGAGGTTAAATCTGAATGAGCCAAAAGAAGACAAAGCATTTCCAATGGTTGTGACTCCACAGGAAACACTAAATAGGATCATGTTTTATGTGGATAAATTCAGCCCCTTTCAAGATGAAAAATGGCCTGCTGTGCAATATAAACAATCTTATGTAGAGCTACTATAAAGAAACACATCCATTTCTCTTTCATTGTGTTTTATCTTGGCTACGTTTTGTTATAAACTCATGAACATGATCATTTATAAGGGAAAAAAAGTCAAGAATCCAGTGCTTAGTGGGGAGAGGTGGTGAAGGATGCTGACAAATACTATCCCTCTCTCTTTCCCTCTCTCCCTCTCTTTCTCTTCCCCACCCGGGGTGTGTGTGTATGTGTGTGTGTGTGTGTGTGTGTGTGTGTGTGTGTTCATGTATGTGTGCACGTGCATGCAGACTGCCATCTATTCATGCCTGTCTTTGCATTTTTTACATTAATGGATTTCCCTGTGTCAAATTTCAGTCAAAGCTGTTTGCTGCTCCTCTGGGACTCAGCATTCTTTCCTCACTATGTCAGTGCTATGCCAAGCAAAAGCCTGCTACACATTTAATTCAATTTTCTTTAGTTGCAGTAACTTGAGGGGCTGCAGAGATGGCTCAGGCATTAAGAGCACTTGCTGCACTTCCAGAAGACACAGTTTGGTTCTGAGCACCCATGTTAGGCAACTCACAAGATCCTGGGGATCCAATGGCCTCTTCTGGCTCCTGTGGGCATCCCACACATGTAGCATTCATCCACATGGATATATGAACACACACTAATTAATTAATTTGGAAAGTAAATAAATAGAATGACTTGAGAATTTGCTTAGGAACACAGAGGAAACACACTTTCTGCATTCAGTCATTCCATCTCAGATGCAAGTCAACAAAAGTCTGCCTTTCTGCCTCCCACCCAACTTCCAAAGTATCTTGGCAATAACTGATAACCTGTTAAGTACCTTTATGGGAGGAATAACCCAATTCAGAGATGTGGTCTCTAGGCATGCTCTACTTGTGTGCCCCTATGGAGCTTCACCCTTGATTGTCTTCTGCTAATCCAACACTGCATATCTTACCTGTTCTACATATGGGCATCTCATCAGCTTCCTGGGGCTTCTTCCTGGTGTTTTCTTAGGGAAATACTGAAAAGTCTGATTCTAATCTAGTTTCTATTCCCACCACCCATGGAAGGCATTATGTTATGCACCACAGATACCATGAGACATATTCCCTGCTCTCCAAGACACCACAGAATAGCAGGATGTACACATGAAATCAACTACAGAAATGATATGATGTATTTAGTGTGTAGGAATACATATCTAACCATGGCTGGCAGGGAAGGCGTAGAGGGAATGGTTTGTTCAAAGAGAAGGTGATATTTGACAGCCACTTATAAAAGCTAAATAAAGATTAGCCAGATAGGGAAGAGAGGGAGGGAAGGAAGAAGGAGGGCATTACAGGTAAGGAGATTAGCATGTGTAAGAGCTTGGAGGTACCAAATGGGTTGGCTAGAGAAGTTGAAGAAACTTTATGACTGAATGAAGATAGTTTAAAAACTGAGTGGCAAGAACAACATGTCAGCAGGGGCTGTTTACAGAACTTCCATGAGATGAGCAATAGTGACTTTATATTCCTACTCATGGCTCTTCCAAGTTCATTTAACAAGGCAATGTTCTCCAGCTTATGAAAGACACAAGTTAAAAAAATCAGAATGGCTCTCTCGGATTCCCCTGACCTGGGGACTGCAGCCAGGTCGACTTGCCCCTGGACTAACGACCAAGCTACCAGGAGCCTGCAGAGAGAGCGGGTCCACTCCTGCCTGCACTCAGGACAGAGGACAGAGAACAGAGAACAGAGGCCAGAGAGTATTGAATTTGCTTGCACCCATTGAAAGGAAACCCTGGTTGCCTACTCACCAGGAGAGGAAGAGGCTCTTTCTACACACATTGGAAGAAGTGATGGGGAAAAGGCAATATAAGAACACACTCAGCAACTGAAAAACAAATATGACACCACCAGAGTCTAGAGATTCTACACCAGCAAGACCTGAACACCCCAGTGCAGATGAAGCAGAAGGGATGACCTTAAAAACACTTTCATGAAAATGATAGAGATCCTCAAAAAGGATATTAGAAAATCCCTTAAAGAAATGGAAGAAAAATCAAACAAAAAAATCCAACAAATGCAAGAAAGAGAGGAAAACACAAAGCAAAAATTACAAGAAACAATTCAAACAGTGCAAGGGTTAAGAGCTGACATGGAGACAATAAAAAACACAGTCTGAAGGAATGCTGGAAATAGAAAAACTGAGGAAACGGTCAGGAACTACAGACGCAAACATAACCAACAGAA